ATAAACACACTCGAAAATATGTGTGCTTTGTAAGCTTTTTGTAAAATTTATACATGTAGAGGAAATTAAATTAGTATGAAAAACGATGATTAGATGCTGCTATATACTAATAAATATATGTATAAATAATATTTTCGTAGTTTCACTTCCATACCAAGATATGTAGGTAAGTAGATATATAGTACATTGTATTTATGCACATTTATGTATATATGTATTTGTATGAGCAATTCGCTTAATTGCTGAACATTTCATTGATGCGTACACTTGTCCTTGGACTTCTTTTTACGATCGTCGCTTGAATTTGATCGGCGCGTACCTTGAATCGGCATATAAGGCGGTGTGGGGCTTGAGCTTTTATCTGCAATTGATAAAAAGGCAGCGAGTTAGCAATGATAGGTACAAATGGTGCGCGCTGACGTTCGAATACATATATACCAAAAGTACTCGATTGCGAGTAGTTCATGCGTGGCGCTAGTTCATGTCTGTTGAGTGAATCATGCGAATCAATGGAGTAGTTTTCTGATCTGTAAGAAAATTGGAAATTAGATACTCGTAGCATACAGCGTGTCACTCGCTGTCACTCACCTGGTCATCGAATTGTGCTGCAACAGTTGCGCTTCTCCATTCGCGCTAATATTTAGCGAAGTGGGTCGCTGACCTGGCCGACAACTGTCCACTGGCAGCGTATAGATATCATCATCGACGCGATTAAGCATAGCATTGTTGTGGAGGCCACCGCCAGCATTCTGTTGACTATTCACGCTGCGTCGTCCACCTTCACGCGTCAAACTGCCATTGGTCAGTGTGCCATTGTGTTGTTGACGCTGCTGCAGCTGCTGCTGATTATGCAGCACATCAATGGGATTCGAGTACGCCTCCACGTCAATGATGTCCTCCTCCTCAACTGCCTCGTGCAGGACGCTTCCACTTTGGGCACTTGGATGCGCGTTCGTGTGTGAACTGTTGGCAGCGACTGTTTGCGAGGCTGTCGCAGCGTGTGTTGAATGTTTGCCAAAGGAGAGGCAGTCCTGTGGCAGTGGCAGTAGTGGCCCACAATGCAGTCCATTCGTAAAGCTGCCATTTGAGCCGCATAGTGTGGTGTTGCCCGCACCGTCCTTTTGTTGATGCTTGCGTAGGCGCGCTTTTTCTTTGGCACGTTTTGCTTTGGAGCGCTCCTAAGTGTGGGTAATCATCGTTAATGATTTAAGGTGCCGAAAGCGGTTTTTCTTTTGAATACTTACACGATCTTGCAGCATTTTGGCTAGTTCTTTGTCCTGCGCTTCGATTGCCATCAGACGATCTCGTTCCTCTTGTGTGAGCCCGTCATTCGCCTCCATTTGCTGTAGTCGACGTGCCAGCAACTGAAAAAATATGAAACAAATGGCGACATCTTAGTTTCCAAAAGCCGCTTAAAGGAGATACTGGAGGGGAAATCTGAGCAAATTAGAATTTATTCCGGAAAAGCTCTAATGGCGAAAACATCGAAGATTAGCCAGAGGGAAAACTAGTTAAGGAATGGAAAATGGAATTTCGCTCAATGTCACAGTCAATTATCGGCTCACTTATCTAGGTTTAGAGACATATGCAGGAATATCGAATGCGCTCAGAGAACTGATGAATTGACGTATGTAGGCAAGATTATGTCTGGATGAATCTGAAGCGTTCACACTGGGTTGCTCTCTAAAGACAAATTGTTCGGCATTTCCTTGGACAGGCTGTAAACAAGTGGGCAGATGTACAGATCAAGAAAACTGTAGACTGACTGCAACAGAACCAAGATCTCGGATTTGCTTAATATATCAATTAATAGAACTAGAGTAGGAACTTTCCTCTAGGAAAACGTACCACAAAAATAGATAGACAAAATTTTGTTATGAACATGACCAGGCCATACGAATATTAGCTATAAAACACTAGGATTTATAACTCAACTAAAGCACCTACTAGCACCAGAGGATGCAGCATATATCTGAAACCTGCTTCGTACAAGAAGTTCATCATAATGACGTCAAAATATGCTAATTGTATCATAGTCTACTACTAGGAAGCACTGCGGTCAACCCGGAAATGATCTCATCTGGTTTCTGGTATCGGTAAGAACTCAATGAAGGATCCCACAAAGCTGACTATAAATAAACCCAAAATTTTAGCCCACTATTATGCTCTGCGCAAACAGTCGGCCGCTGTGGTGTAGTGGTAAGCAGTGCGCGCTTTCACTCACCAGCACCTGGGTTCAAGCCCTGGTCAAAGCAACATCGCAAAAAATTTAGAAAAAGGTTTTTCTTAACAGCGGTCGTCCCTCGGCAGGCAATGGCAAACCTCCGAGTGTATTTCTGCCATGAAAAACAGCTTCTCATAAAAATACAATCGCCGTTCGGAGTCGGCGTAAAACTGTAGGTCCCTCCGCTTTGTGTGACAATATCAAGGCGCACGCCACAAGTTGGAGGAGAAGCTCGGCCAAACACTAACATATGTGTAAGCGCCAATCTATTATTATTATTATTATGCTCTGCGCAAACAGTTGTAATCGTCACCTAAGTTTAGAATCGAAACAAGGCCGTCAAACCGTTCACCGGCATCAACCCGGATAAAAACAATAAAGAGGTACAGACTGCCATTCATAGGGACCGCTATAGGCAACTACAGATCTGTCAAAGCGTCGGACTTCAAACTGCCACCAAAATCTCGCTGATTTAGCAAAAACACCATCAAATATTTTCAGTAGGCTGCCTCCGTGTCACTCCAGCTGGCACAACATAAGGCCGAGCCGCCTTCTAACTAAGACAACCGAAACCACCTAATTGATATTACATATTGACTAGGTTCAGTAGTATACATACACCTTTGTCATGCGCTGAATCAGACGATCTAAAAACAGCCCTTACATATAATTTATCTGAAGAAAATCAATCAAAACTCGTCCCATGACAGCCGTCATCTGGACCACACAACAGCTCTTAGACCAAAAAGTCGATCTGATCAATGAGTTCGATTTCTGCTTAGTCGGAATCATCCTAGCTATACCAAATGTATGACATAATGCACCGAATAATGCTAACCACCTCTTTGCATCCTCACTAAAACTATGTAACTCATTTAACGCCAGTGGTGTCATTTAACTCTAAAGTAGGTATGAAAATGAGTTAAGGAATCTTTCTCCGCAATTGGCTCAAAAGTTTATGGCATTGACTACAGTATGTTAATGTAGAACTAACTATCTAAGGCGAAGATCCCTGAAGACTCTTTGAACGTATGTAAGTTTAAATAGTTTAAACTGAATACCTCAAGAGTTGTAGCGTTCGTCCAGTGTCGCAGTTCCCGCATGGACATTATGGATTGTAAATAAAAAATATTGTTGGGTACTATAAATATCTTAGGCATTATGTGAAATAAATTAGCTTGCTATTAAAATTTATACATTTGCACTTGAATACTACCCTCTGAACTGGATAATCTCTGCCGAATAAATTATTTGCAACTA